GTGCAAGGTGTACCGCGAGTACTTCGTACAGGATGGGGACGGGCCTAACCGCGGAGAGGTCGAAGCGGAGGCACACGGCGAGAACATCGATGCGGCTTGCTCAGTCGGTGGAAACTTTCACACCAGTGAACATGCGCCAGGCGAAAACTGTTAGCATACACCCAATATTCATGGAGGCCGGAGACGTGCACCGCCACTGTCTTGCCATCCCTCTTCATCCTGCTCCCAAGGCCCTCATCCCGTACGATGAGGACTGCAATTCGAATGAAAATGTTAAAGGAACGGAGAAAGGGCAGGAAATTTGATTGGTGCGTCGACAGGTCTTACCATCACAGTATTAGCGCACGTAGGTTGATTTTCTTTCTTTCATTTTCTCTGTACGCTTCACGCCGCAGGCCCGAAACATATTAAATGTCAGCTGTGGCAGATAGGAACGTGAAAAGCGGTGGCGCCGCGTGCGATGACGTGACCGACACCTCCGAGATCAGCGGCCGGGTGCTACTTCGACTGGACGACGGCATTTGACGGAGTCTACACAATGGGTAGCACCCATACCCAGCTCCAGCACGGGGCGCGACTAGACATCAATGCATCAGCATCATCTCCAGTCACCCATCCAGTTTGCCTGTTTTTTCAGCGCAATCCCGTCTGAAACGTCGCTTCAGGACTCGAAACCGCACCCCTTATGATCAGGCTGTCTTCCACGCACCGCAGAATCATCATGGCGCGTAAGTGCTCGCTGGACAGGCCTGTGATGTATATAAGCTTGCCCGACCGCCGTAGCCAAACTCACATTTCTCGCCTTTCTTGGCTCGACGACATCACAACTCTTTGGACTCTACGTCGCTCACACGGCCATGCACTTCATAGTCTCCTTTGTCTTGGCTCTCGCTGCCATGACTGTTGTCTCGCTGCCGTCCCTCAAGGGCCGCCGGGAGGACCGCATTGCTCGTCGTGCCAGCGGGCCGCACATGTTGACCCGCCAGGCAGACAACAGCTCTCAATCCGAGTTTCCCTCTACCCAGGCTGGTGCCGTCTTTAATGTGACTGCGGTGAGTCTCTTATGCCTCTGTGTGATGCGTGCGCTGACAGGCTTGACTTTCGCATAGAACGAGATCACGAGCGCCACCGGGTCGTTCGCGGTTTCGCCGCTTGATGCGGTTGGGGACGGGGACGTCTTCTCCTTAGGCACCATGGTCGGCCTTGATATGGAGAACTGCCCGACCGGCGGCGTCGCGGGTGGTATTGTGTCCACCATCGAGCATGGTACAGAGACCTTTAGTGGTCAGTCCGCGCTCCTTGCCCTCTTCGTCGCATGCTGATAAACCATCTATATCCTTGCAGCATTTTTCGCAACTTTCCCTGGAAACTACGTCACCATGATGGGCCTTAGCCCCTCGGCGGGCGATGTCGTCACGATAAGCGTCACCGCGACGACCGCGACGTCAGCCACGGTGGTCATTACCAACGAGAGCACGAACCAGACGGTCTCCCAGGTCGTCACTACCGGCAATCTGTGCATGGAGGAGGCAGACTGGCTCGTAGAGGACTTCGAAGTGGACGGGTCCCTTACCACCTTAGCCGACTTTGACGAGATCAAGTTCACTGATGTATCTGCCGGGACCGCCAGGGGTTCTCTCGACATCTCTGGCGCGACCATTTTGAACATAGAGCAGAACGGCACTGTTCTTACTGCCGTCTCGTCCTCACGCTCGACCGTCGATATCGTCTACGTTTAATGCGGCAGAAAGGATGTAGGACTGGTATTTATTTAACACTGCTTGTATTGCTGGATGAAACACGCAAGAACTCTGAACACCTCCGACGGCGAACAGTGCTGCACACAGCACTCCAGAGACATTGGGCGTGCGAGCCGCCTTGATGGGAAGACTGGGGGTTCGACATGATTCGTCACTTCAAGGCTCCGAAACCTCGCCAGTCCTTTCAGCCAGTGCCAACTCGTCATCAATGTAAGGCTGATGCGCTGACATGCACTCAGACCCTGGGGGACCAATCTAAGATAATGGGAATAAAATAGAATAAAATGATGGAGGCAGTGAGAGAGATCCGAGAGTACGCGAGAGCTCGGGAAGTAGTCTCGAGGTGGCTTCGGGGACCGGCGAGAGCGCCGCACGCTGTGCGAAACGTCGAGAGGGGGACATAGGAGCTCAGAATATCGTATAAACACCGTGGGGATCTCGTCGCGTATGTTGTCCTTTTCTCGTGTACGCTACTACATGCACTGTTATACAGCTCAGTAAAAGGTACTAGAAAAAGCAGGAAAACAGTAAAATATATAAATGTGTCATGTACATGTAACAGGCGGGAGTCAGGGGGTTTGGGCTGGTGTCGGAGACTTTGTGGCGGTGTGGCGTTGCTGCGAACGGTCGCGCGAGAGGGCGCCTATTGCACGCGTAGAACGCCGCGGGGCGCGTCAAAATCCAAAGCCGCTTCAGGCAACAAAAGGGTTCGATGGGGCGAGACGTCTGTGAAACGCGCGCGAGCTTCGAACACATAGGGTATGCCTGTACCAGCTGTTTTTTTTACCCTTTATAGGCTATCTATTACTAGTTACTATCACTATATCACTATATCACTATACTATTACTATACTATTAGCATATTACTATATATATAAGATGCCCTAAAAGTAACAAATGTCTTTCTTAAACCCTGTCTTACAGGTGCCCCCCTCATCTTATATACCTTTTGGCCACCCCTAATGCGTCATTCCCCTTGATCGGGCCCGATAATCGCCTCCGCTCTCCTTCGCTTACGCCACGCGCACTCCTCTCGGCCGCGCGCAGCCCTGCCGCTCCGTGCTGCACATTGAGCTGAACTCTATGCACTGTTTTCTGTCCGACCTGTCGTGCTAAGCCAAGATTACCAAAAGCTTTGCCATGTCATTGGACACCTGCAGAACCGCGGCCACGGAAACAGCAGTCGTGGAGCCACCTCTTGTAAGCGTTTAGAACCATTTACTATGTGTTTACACAAAAAGAATCCACGTAAACTAAACGGTTGGAGCCTTGGTAGGCTATAGCCTTACATATGACACTCCGGTACATATAGCATCCATTTATCATCTACGTTATGCGATGTAGATCGGACGGAGTAAGAGGGTGCTCCACTGAATCTTGATTGGCTGCTTGTACACCGGGGCTGTCGGTTGATAATACCCGGGCGCCTGCCAGCTGAGCCTTTCTTCCACAACTTCCACGAACCACAAGTGGACAAACTCTAGTGAACCCAGTCCATACCTCTATGGCCATATCCGCTGGAACCAAGCGGGCGATATTCGACGGTACGTTTGTCTGGTCAGTGCAAGACATGTACGGGAGTGTTTAAGCGAATTCTGTGCCTAGTGGTTCTCTTCGCTGCCTCACAAGTGCGTCGGTCGTGCTATCATGTCAACTGTTTTCTAACTTGCTTGCAAGGCAGCCCTGTACTATACCATACGAGTAAGTGCTTCTAGCGTAGCGTGTCCGCAGAAGAGCACGCGTCTCATTCACGGTTCCGCAGTGGGTGATGCAGTCCATGAACCCCGTGGAGAAGAAGGAGGTCAAAGAGAAAAGCTTGAAAGCACTAGAGAGGCTGGGTCACAAGAGTTTGACTCTGGACGATTATGAGAGTGCGTTGTTGTCTCCTTGTAGTTTGGTTTGGGCTGACCGTTTCGGGCACCTCAGGGCAGATAGCCTCCGAAATTATACATCCAGACGATATTGACGTGCACTTCTCAGGTATCTGTCTTAAGAAGTTGCCTATGTTCTCTTTTGACTCATTCTGCCAGACATTGGCGGCTTGGACCCTATAATTTCCTCAATGCAAGAGTCTGTCATTTTCCCATTACGCTATCCCGACCTCTTTGCTTCGTCCTCGTTGCTGGCGCGCCAAGGGTGTCCTATTATTCGGTCCGCCGGTGCGGCAAGACCATGCTCG